GTCTTGATTAAATGTTCCTGATAATTTAATAAACTTTGTCAGATGTTACAAAAAGTAGTTTTCCTTCTTTAAAGGAAAAAAGGCAGTCGTATCTAATGTTGCTCTATAAAACACCGTCTGACCACACTGAATCATTCTCAAAGACCCACAAAAATGATCAACTCAAATCAAAATAGATAAATAAAATTGATGTTAAAAAGGTAATAAATGAACCCTGAAAAAAAACAGTTGGAGTTTGTAATTAAATAATAAGCAAGAGACAAGACATTTATACAACAAAATCATCATCCCAATCCCTAAGTGTCTGAATGGCTGCAGGTTGTCTTACAATCTGGATGACTTGTTGTAAATGAGATAATCATGAATTTGGCAGAAAATCTTAAAACTGTCTGGTGTCTGGTTATTAGTTCATCGCACCAAAAAGATAATAAAAAAAAAAAAACAGGGTTCGACAGTAGGAAAATATTCAGAAATACAACACATCTAACTCTGAATAGTTAAAAAAAAACAAATGTTTGCAATGTCATATTAAAAGTCTGGACTTAAATCTAACAGTCTATGCTTTAAAAGCTTTACCTTGCTTTAAAACCAAAGCCTCCATTGAGGCTGAATTAAAACAATGCAGCTAGTAAAAATATAAAAGTAGAAGACTGCCACAATACATTGATATTAGTTGTTCCCAACAAAGGTGGTACACCAGAATGTGAGGAATCTGAAGCAGGTACTGTTTTTCATACCCAGTAGTGAAAGGTCTCTTGTAAATAAAATAAATGTAAAAACTGTCACACAATTTGATAGATTTGCGCACAAAATTCAGAATAAAGCTACAAAGAGCATTATTTTAACCAACTCTGCTGTATAGCTCAGTATCTATCATTGTTCTTCATACCCCTGATGGGTTGATAATAAGATTTTTTTTTATTCTAGTTTTGAAGGGACTGTTTATAGTTTGTGGTGGAGGGAAGCAGAAGAAAGATATTGTAATTGACATCACACAGACAAAACCAGCCAATAGGTTATGGGTTAGTACCACCTACTTTATTTAGTCAAAAGGAGCAGATTTACTATAAAATGTCTAATTAAGAGAAATGAGATTGAAAAATAGAAAATAGTTCTGTAAATGAGCTAAATGTGTAATCAAATCTGTCCTTTAAAAAAATATTTTTTACATTTTATGTGTTTTTCAGTTTTTTGTTGTTGTTTTTTTTACTGTTCAAACCACAATTTGAAAACAGTCTGTACCAAGACAAAAAAAAGTTTGCCAAACTTCTGCAGTGATATAACGTGTCACACATAATTCAAATCTCTGTCAGTCTTCAGTATCTAAAGTCTTCTAACTTGCTTCTATCACCACTTTGTCCTTGTTCCGCCTATCTTTTATTCTCTTTACATCCTGCGCTTTGCTTTATTTCTCTTTCAGCCTCACTAATTTGCAATTGATTAGCTGTCCTCTCTCAGTCTTGTGAGCATCCTCCCCGTCCTGTCCTCCCCTCCATCTACGAGTCAATTTCTCTTTAACGAGCCTCGGTACATTTCTCTCCCCTGGGCACTAGAAGCCCTTCTGTGTAAATAAAACAGGGAGCAGAGCCAAAAATCAATGGGCCTATTACCCTCAGAAAATGCTAAACAAGCAATATTAGCGACTCTCTTGGAAGTGGTTGCTGATTGCCTTAATCCAGAGACCGCCAAAGAAACACCTCTGTCTCTTCTATTCATTCATCTACACGAAGCACAATCAAACACATGCTCACTAACACAGTAATACCCAGGCATGCTGGAGGAAGAGTCTAAATAATTTCCCTCCAATACTCCAAACACACACACCCACACACAACTGCATGATGCATGAACCCACAGACTGCTGGCAGAAATGAGGGATTCGCTCTCCTGACAGAAATCATTCGGCACCACACAGAGCTGCAGGCCACGTTTTACCGCTTCTCATTTTGTCTGTCCATGCAAACACAACAACACACAGCAGCACGTGCAGCGCCCACAAACAGCAGCGGGCGGCCGGGATTTATAGCAGACACCCCATATTTCATCCGACAACTATGATTAGTGTGCCAGTGGTTTAAAAAAAAGCAGCATTTGTGTGTTGTGGAGGGGATGTGTGTGTTTGGGTGTGCATGCTGAGGTGAGAGTAAACACAAAAAGTAAAAGGCATACGCACCCAGCATGTGCACAGATTTGCAAATAGTGAATGCAAAACTGAATAAACATCTAAAGTGTGCCTACAGACAAACACATTCACGAAAACATCCACACTCTGTAAACACTGGTGGTAAGTATGGGCTGTTAAACACTCTGACAAACACACACACAGCAAAGTAAACAGGCTGGATAGTTACAGAGAGACACACATACACTGCAAGACAAAGGCCAAGCATTTATCACATCTTCTCAAACCAACACACACGCTATTTGTGCAGAGATGAATGTGTGGATGGTTAGCTGTGGTCCATTTATCGTGGCGGCTGATGTGTGGTTAACACAGACATTTATGCTAATGACCCTCCGTGTTGAAGTTGGGGAAAAAAAGCAGCAGTGATGCAAAGGCTCGTTAAAGGCCAAATCCTTATTGGCTGCAGTCATTTTTCAGCCCATTATCTTGTTCAATTAAGCTGATGAAATTCTTATTCGAATGTAAAATTGCTATCAGCTTCACCAAGTGACCAAACGAGACAAAATAAAATAGACCAGGTGTTGCTTTAAAGTCTTTATAGGATTTTTAAGGTTAACATTTGTTCTTTTTTTTTTCCTTTACACATTCTTTTACCAAATAAGATTACCTTCATAGTAGGAGCTTTTTTTGTATGTTTTAGCATGCAAAAATAAAATCCAAAACAATGCTGGCTGGAGTCCTCTTACTTTAACTTTAATGCAGTGTGCTGAGGTGCATTTTCTTCTTCTATGAAACAGATGAAATTTGATTTTTGCAGTGTATCTTTGTTTGCATCAAGGTAACATTAGGAAAAGTGTAATATGTAAATAACTTAGGAAGCAACTTATAGTATCCTCCTTATCTCTAGCTTCATATAATTTTAACTCAATAACAGTTTTTGACGTCAGTTAATGATATGACGTCAATTCCACTTTAGTCTTTTGCATATTTGCTTTTAACCTTAACTTCTCATACAAAGCATTGAATAAAAATGAAAGCAGTGAATTTATTATGTTAGCATGTAATGCATGTATATTGTGTAAAGTTTCAATTCAGTTCTATTGGTTTTAATACTCAGGGTAAATTCTTTCACTCATCAATTCACACATTAAAACTTGACCCCTCCTCCTTCCTTACTTTACCAACTTATTAAACAAAGCAATTTATAGCCATTTTCTTTAAACCATGTTTACTGCTGAATCTTCCAAGCAGTTAAGAATAGAGATATATTTTAGAGAATGGTTATAAAGATGCAGCAGTCTTTGTGAAAACATTTGCCGCATTTGTGTTGAAGGTTATCTCTATTTGGTGGGATTCACATATTTAGCCAGCTGCTTTTTTTTTTCATGAAATATTGTTGTTAAAAACCTCTAATCTAACCATGTAATGATATAAGATCCTGTTTACCCACATTAAAATTTCATTTAAAACAACTACATAAAAACAACAATTTGAACCAGATGGAACTCAAAATGCATGCAAACCTCAACCTTACAGATAAAATCAGTGCACCTGTATTTTCATATTCTTTTATTTCCAAATAAAAACCAAACTATATCTTTGCTTAAATTTTTTGCAACTGGTTTAGTCTCTAGGTTTCCAAACAGTCTCAATTTAACAATTCAATACTTTGTTATAGTAAAATAAATCCACATTTCCTGCCAAGTGTTTGGCCTATTTGCAATCCAAAAATGCAACAGTTAAGTTTAAAATCACGTGCTTCCACATAGTTACGTTTTGAAAATTTAAATTAAAAAAGGAAAAACTATAAAAAAGAAAATAGACAAGATGGGAATTGAAATGCTGTTTTATTTATTTTAGTTTCTGGTCTTTAAATCTAAGAGTTTCTCTCTGTCCTTATCTGTCTACCATGTAGGTGATCTGTGCGCAAAGCATCTCACACTTTTATGAATTCACTAATGATTTCCAACATAACTGGGCTTAAAATATCGAACTCAAGACTAGCAGATGAGGAACCAGCAGACATAAGAGTACGTCCAATTTATTTGGAGTGACAAATATTGGATGTGTTCTTATTAAAAAGGAATATGACTGGAAATTGAAATAATTTTGTGTGCATTCATTTTCTATTCCCATGATTTACTCCACTGTTAACTTATTTTAGGCTGTTAAATGTTATGCTGTGTAGGTATTTAGCCTGGTTTGATTTAAGGTTTTTGTCCATTATAAACTTTGGAATTTCAATTTGATAACAGTTCAATAAAGTAAGAAAACATGGAATCGAATATTATGAATTTATCAAAGAATGTACGTACTTTGTCTAGTAAAAATGCTTGACCAAAGTTGAAATTTGCTGTGTAGGTAATTAGTTTTATGTACTTTTGTGAATAACACCATTCAGTTAGTAAGCAAATTCCTGTTGGCAAGATGATGAATTTAGAGTTTAGCGAATAAGCCAAACAAACTGTTGGTACAACGAGGAATTTAAACTTGAAACAATCAAGTGGTCGATCATTGAGAGAACACAAAATTCTTACTGCATAAGGTTGTTTTGAATTTTTGAATATTCTTAATTATTCTTTTCTTACAGTGTGACAGCATATGAACCCTGTAGTTTGAAAAGATTTCCTGCAAAATCAGAGCCATCTAAAGAAAGGATGCAAGTGGAAGGCAGAAAAAAGGTGTATTAATGTTAAAAATACTATAGAGAATTTTCTATACAGCTGACGCTTCTTTTCTTGTAATTCCAACTACAATGATCTATTATTGGTTAATGCACATATACAACAAAAACTTGTACTGATCTTGTTACTCTGAGACAAATTATGAGGCTTTTTCTCTCTTGCATTTTAATAAAAAAAAAAAAACTTCTTACCTGTTTATGCATCTCTATGTTCAACCCATATGACATTTCATAGTACTGTCAAAAGCACAGGCAAAAAAAAGGTTACGCTCCTTCTTTTAAATCAAGCACTAAGAATGACACAAGCAGCAGTCAGACTTACCATTACATAATGTCTTTGCATCTCAGTTTTCTCACTGGCCAGTTTTTCACATTCCAACTTTAGACTAGAGGAAAAGATCAAAAAAGAAAATTTTACATCAGTGTTAGTATCAAACTCTCCATCGACCTCAAATATCTATTAATATAACCTGAAACAAAAGCCTAGTTTGGAGTGTTTTTATAACTCTGGCTTTCCCCACAAAGTTAAATGTGCAGATCTAAATCAAAGCTGAACTCTAAAAGAGGGTGAACAACAACACAACAATAAGAGTTTTGTGGCTCACCACAGCTCCCCGCTGCAGATGCAGGTCCTTACTCAGCAGGGGCAGAAGAGTAATTACTGAATTAATGGACATACACACAGACCTCATCATATATTCTTACACTGTGAGAGGGGGCCAAAACTGCATCATCAACATAAAAGTAACCAGATAATGAGGATCCATTTAACAGAAAAGGTTTACTCTTTAAAAATGTTTCAGTTGATGGGAAATCTTCTTGTTACAACCACAAAAAGCTTTTGAGTGTCAGCTAATGAGATAATCAGCAGGTGTGTGAAGTTAAGACAATGTAGCACGTGAACATCTACGTCACTGCTTGAAAATTTATGGAGCATTTCAAGGAGCATTTTTGTTCACTATAGAACTAAAATAATGAATTAATTCAATAAAGTTTTTCCTTTTCCACATTCAAATTGCTAGAGGTCCAATACCTGGATCAGATATCGGCTCTGATATTAACTAATTAGCTGGATAGGATATCAGTGATTTGATACCAGAGATTCACTTCAGTGCACTCTATATGGCAGTGTTACTTCTTTTCGCCGCTTATTTGTTAATAAGTAATAAAGTACACTTATAGCAGTGTCAATTTGTTATCTTGTTTAAAATGTATATGTCAAGGCTGGCTGGCTGGCTGGCTGGCTGGCTGGCTGGCTGGCTGGCTGGCTGGCTGGCTGGCTGGCTGGCTGTCTGGCTGGCTGGCTGGCTGGCTGGCTGGCTGGCTGGCTGGATGGATGGATGGATGGATGGATGGATGGATGGATGGATGGATGGATGGATGGATGGATGGATGGATGGATGGATGGATGGATGGATGGATGGATGGATGGATGGATGGATGGAAAAAGAGATCCTTTTCCGTTCTATTTTTCATACTTATCCATGCTTAGATAATGACCCGCTCAAGTGTTCTAATTAAACACTAAAGAATGAACCCTGATCATTCATCAGAATGACGATTTATAGTTTTCTGACTTCCAATCAGATCCATCCTAAGTCTCTTTCTGTTTTTAACCAGCCCCAGCCCCCTATGTTGGAACCGTTTGATGTGGGCGGCTGCATCATTAAGCATGCAGCTCATTATCCTCAGTTCAGCCTGTTCAAGCCCCAGGATTGACCAAAAAAGTCGGACCCCCAGTTCATCTCCCCATGAGGCTGGGTAACAATTACAAGGTGGCCAGAAGTGGGCGATTATTATGCATTGGTGTCATGCTTTATGGTCCTGCCCAGCAGCGACGTATTTCACACTTCATCATGTCAGGTAAAGCAGTATTTCACACTACTTGCACTTGCAGGGAGAGACGTGCAGATGAAAGTCAATGGGGTTTACCTGTGATTAGTCACTGGTAACGGACAGGATTGAGACAAGCGGTTACAACACAAGCTTATGAATGAGCTCTGTACAGGCTGCTGGGAGAGGAGACGTTGCATATCATCTTCAGATGTTAAAAAATCCAAACTGAGTTCCTTCAATTATCAATAATAACCTGAAACCAAACCCCACTTTCCACTTGGTATTTCATGTCATTGCATCATCTATTTCTCTGATATGTTGGTCATATTGCAAGAGTCATGCATGAATGCATGGCACTAGGCATTGTTAAACTTTTTTACCGCTAAGATGTACAAGTTAGGCATAATAATGTGACCAAGTGATTAACATTTTGCTTTGGTTACTGTTTGGGATATATCACGGAAGAAGTGAATGCTTTGGACCTCAAAGTTTTGTTGAAAATTCTCAAAACTTCTAATTGATATAACTTATATTGATAGATGATGGTACTGGTTGTAAATAACTAAATATCCTTCACTATTTTCCTTCACCTGTGGCATATTTTATTCATAATCTACTTCAGGTCAAAGCGTAAAGGACAGTACGACTACATACACATGTTCAGGCATATGGCACAGACATATAGAAAACCAAGACACTTATTGCGGACTTGACTTATAGCTGACAAATATTGCATTCAAAGAGTCTTTTCTTGTTGTCATATTTTAAACCCTGACACAGTGCTTTTAATTGCATTAGAAAGAGACCAAAAAATTGGCAAACATAAGGATTTGAGTAAGTATGTAAACCAGTGAAGTTGTGACACTAAAGAGCCAGGGATGAATCCAGAATGTTTTAAATACGGTGGGGCTACTGGTAGTGACAAAATAAAATGATTATATATATATATATATATATATATATATATATATATATATATATACACACATACACATACAATTTCATAAATAGCCAGGACAGGTAATCCTTAAAACATTGAAAATAATTTATTTATTTACAACGTATTAATCTCTTACATTTTAGACTTGGATGCATACAATCATGCTGCCTCTCTAGGTATGGACCTTATTTAAAGGGCAGGTCACTCCTGTCCCTTTAGCTCCCAGTTAATGACACCATTGGTCATAGAGTCTCCAAAACTGCAGCTTTTATGGAGTGTTCATACTTTTCCATAATTGAAAAAAGGTACCCCAGAGAGACAACAGTGTTAAATCTGGAAAGTGCATGGTCCAATTTAACAGATGAACTTCTTTTGATTGAATGCTGATACTGGCAGAGCTGTCAGAATAATCAGTAGATAACTGTTTTATGTGGGACTTCATAGGCCAATCATGCTGGTCATAATAGTATGTTTAATTGGTGTTATTTTTGTCACATTCTCCTTCAAAAAAGTGTTTTTTTTGTTTGTTTTTTGTTTTTGATAGGTAAGGTTTTACATATTTATAAGTAACTTTTTTTATTTGGTAACTTAAAAAAATTTATTACCAAAGAGGTGGACAAATGCCCTGGTTCACTTCAAGCATTTCAATATATAATTTCCTTTAAGTGGTACTAAGAAACCTGTTTCTATTTATCTAATTGATCATTTTCTCTTTTTTCTGTCTGCCAACCTAGTGAAACAGAAAAAAGAGCAGGAAGCACCATGCGTCAAGGCTTTCTTTCTGCAGTTTTTCCATCCAGACTCTCACCTGTGATATTGGGCTTGCAGGAACTGAAATTCCTCTTTGATCCGATCACAGGACTCGGTGACGGTGAACTTGAACGGCTGCCCCGGCTGGTGTGGCACCTCAACCCAAAATCAAAGAGCGTGCGATGAAGATGAGGAGGGAGAGAGCGAGAACTGAGCCACCAAAGTTCAGTGTCATGACACAACGTTACAGGATTGAAGCTTGTTTTACAATGGACCTCTGTGATCGCACTCAATCCCCTCACAGTCTATTCGAGCGCACAACTCTCACACAGACACAGCCAGCTGCATGCGGTAATGTTGACAATGAGCGGAATTGTTAAGGGGTCCGCGCAATGGCACGGAAACTGGATATAAACTGATTACGCATCAGGCGCGCGGCAGTTAATCTACGCTGTTTTGACACATTCTTGATTTCTCTGCTTCTATCTTCTACTTACCGGATGCCGTGCCGGCGGGTACATCTTGCTCAGATCTCGAATCATTTCAAGGGCTTTGTAAAGTTCATCCACAAAAAGAAATAAAGAAATGAGCGAGGTCCCCGTGCGTAAAAGGTCAGTCAGTATCCGCTCAGCGAACTGAGAGCGGCTTATGTAAAAAGTAGAAACATCCTTTGACAACAAAAACAACGCTAACCATTAATTTTCTTTCTCCTCTGTCCATGCAACTCGATGTAATCCCTTTAAACTAACAAAAGTCTTAAATTGTCTTAAATTCCCCTACGGAGCATCAACTTTTGCGCATCGTGGCACAGCTCATCCCACTGCGCATCTCAGGTTCCTCTCCGTTGTCGCGCATGAATCAGTTTATCTCCTCCAGCTTCCTTTTACGCTTCACATCCAAGCGAGAGACCACCTCACCAACCAACCGTGCCAGCCTTGCCCCTGTCTGTGACGCCAAATTTAGCAGCAACCATTCTTGAGGGCGCAATTACATATTCACAACATTTAGAGGGGCCCCGCACACCGTGACGTCGGGACGTGTAGTTTAATTCCTATTAGCCAATAATAAGCCTTACAGATGTGCTTCTGCCATAAAGAACTACAACTTCCCGGCTCCTTCTCAAAGCCCCCCACGTCCACCACCGCTCTCATCCAACCCCTTCGTACACTCCCCACCTCCCATAAAGCCAATGATGTGTGGTCTGAAGGAGGAGCGGTGATTAAACACAGCCAATGAGGAGAAAAAAGTGAGCAATGTGCAGCATCCTGCCGTCTGTCATCCGCAAACGGTCCAATCACATCCCGACATCATGCTATTTATCCAGACCCCCACGTGGGGGTCTCATTCTGGAATACAGGGCTGTGACATTGATTACACTGAAATCTCTCGCTTATCTGATTTTATTGATAGTATAAATTAGAGGTGTCTATATGGCCTGAAGATGCCTGATGGTGCTTTTTTGCCACTGTTGTTTAGCTGTTTAATTACTTGGTGTTCACAGATTAAACATGTAATCTGTCAATTGTTCCATCATTCCCAGTCTTCTTGACTAGTTTAAACCATGTGCAAAAATGCACTCAAATTCAATAGATTGCTGAGGCTTTAGGATACATGGTGAACAATTTACACTGTAAGAAATACAGACATCAAATCAGCACCGTTCACATTCTGAAATACTAGTGTTTCATGCTTAGAATATAGAAGATAGATGTTCAACTGAGCAAAAGATACATAATTAACAATTATTAATTTACTTTTGAATATATCAGTTTCCAATAATTAACATAACATCATGCAAAAATATATATTCTGCTTAATTCCCATAACATTTTGTCACAAAATATCTATAAACTTTATTGTATTTAATTTGGATGTTATGGGACAGATTAATACGAATTAGGTCATAACATGGGAGGTTTCACGTTTTAAAATTCCCGATGACATTCTGAAAGGTTTGCATTTATTCCAAGGCATTATAGATCCGCCGTTCATTGTTCTTACAACTCCCAGCCTTTAGTTCTGGGCTTTGACTAAACCTTTTAAATATGTTGATGTTTTTGGATCTAAACTATTTCATTGTTGTCTTACTAAATGCAGTTTCATATTTTAATAAACTGTTCAAATGTCAACTGTTGCCTCTGGAATAATGGGTCTTGGATTTTCTGGCCATTACACCTTTGTTAACATTCTATAAGATGAATCTCGATATACTTCTGCTTAGGATCATAATCCTGTTGGCAAACATTTGTCCTAGTCGCAAGCCTTCAGCAGGTTTTCTTCTAGGGTTTTCGGATTTTATTGCCTTCAAGCAAGTACTGTAGTCCAAAAAGTTTGATTTTCATCTTGTGTGACCAAGGCACTTTAATTTGCTTGTTCGTTGTTTCTCTTACATGATGTTTGGCAAATATTCATACTTATTTTGACCTTTTTTCAACAATATCTTTCTTCTTTCACCTTTCAGAATTCGTCAAAAGAACGAGGCTCGGCATGATTGGGTGCCTGTGAGGAGCAGGGAAACAATAACTCGATTTCAAACTAAATGAAGTACCCAATTTAGCTTAGTTATGGTAAACAGAATACAGTCATCTGCGACGGTGTTTTATATTATAGAGATGATTCAGCTCTAAAAGGTAAATCATTCATACTGATTTTGGACTTATGAGACTGACTGGTTTATAACGTCAGCCTACATTTTGTTTCTTAACAACCTATGTGAATGCTGATCAGATTTGCATGGTGAGGTCACACATCTTGCATTAAAACAGCCAAAGCAACACAAGGAGGTACCATCATCACAAGTATGTTAAAAATATGCCCCCATTAATCTTTACTAAATGATTGTTGATTAATCTGTTCTTTTCCGGGATGTTGGCCCTTCTGCATGAAATATGAACGCTTACATTTACTGTAGCATATATTTTTTTGGCCTTCTCTTTTCTGCTGTTTTAGTTTCTTTTTCTACCATCACAGTATAATGGTAGAAGTAACGCAGCATAAAAAAATAATGCTGAAATTCTCAAAAATAGAGTTTTGGTCATTATCCTTAAAAATTGGATATAGAATTTGATATTTTTTATCATTTTAACTTTTATAAAATATATAATTTAAGTTACGCATGCTTTTCAGTTTTCCTCTTAGGCTGCGATAAAACAATTTTTCAAAAAGCATAAATTTTAAAGTCAGATTCACTATTATTTTTAATCCATGATCTTCCTTTATCATCATGTATAGAAAAAGAAAGAATGCATGAAAATGGTTGAGAAGGTGCACCGTATTGGGAGGCCTTGAGTCGTTGTCCCAGGTTCATTCAATCTGTATGCCTTTCAATGCATGTATTGTACATGCATGAAATGAATATCTTCTACATGCATTTTATGCTTTTAATATTCTCTGCTATTATGGTTACGTGGTATTGAACAGGATTTATTCTGCAACCCAGGGGTTGAGACCTTGATAAACTTTTCAGACAACACAAGGCCCAGTGGTTGTGTTTGAGACTATTGTGGTTGTTTGGAAAATGTGATTTTATTTCTATATCTATTTAAAGAAATTGCTTTTCTCTGTGTATCCTTCCTTCAGGTCTATGAGGTCTGCTAGTGCCATTTATTCATGTATATGCTGCAGTATATGTAGGAAGATGTATGAACAGTATGTTGAAAAAACATGATTTTTTTCTCCAATCAGGATTTATTTAATGACACCCATTATCCACCAAAAAATTATTCTTCCAATATTTCCTTGGCTTGTTTCTGTACCATCCTACTTCATTAGACATAATCAGATTCATGAACTGAGTTGTGTCTAAATATCTGACTAAATAATCTGCAGTTTTGCACTGCAGATTACTCAGGTTGTGACTGATATCTCATGTAAATTCATGTTTATCAAAATGCCAAAAAAATATTTACTAGGAAAATGTTGAAACATATAACAAATCTATAATATTTTGATTTCTACCTGTGACATTGGGTGAATTTAAGGTGTCTTTAAGTGACCAGTTAGATGCATAGAACTACTTCCTATTCAGTTGTCTGGGGAAGCAAATTAACCAAAACGTTGCACAGTATCTTGTTGGTTGAATAATGCAAAGAGAAAATTAAACCTACTTTGAGTGGATGTTGACATTGTGAGTCTGCCCTTTTAATTACACTTCAGAAAATAATATGTAGTTTCGTTATGCTGCAATTTTGTTCACATAAAAAACAGAAAAGTTCTTCTGTAGTACATTTGGAGGATACTAGTGTGTCTGAAGCGTCATTCACAGGGACTGATGTATGTATTTGCATTAAATAGTTTTTTCGTAGAAGTCTGTGTAAACTCAATATGTGAAGAACAGCCATGTTTTTAAAATACAAGATGGAGAAGCAAGAATCGAAATACACTTTACTGCACATTTTGTAGTGATTTGCCATTTGAGTGCCACAATCCAATTAGGGTTGCTGAGTAAGGTAAAATATTACAACCAGGATACTTACAGCTTCCTCATTCACTTGCAGGAAGTGAGTGTATCTAGTAAGTCCGTCTGCATTTGTGGCTTTTAGTTTTTGCTCAGTGTGTGGAGATGAAAGACAGTGTTGCTGGGTCAGCAGGTCTCATAAATGCTACCATCAGTCATTTACAAGAACTAAACAAGTGTAAAAAAATAACTTAGATCTTCTTTTTCTTCACTGAACTGTTTTTCTTAGCCTGAATAAATTTCATATAAAACTAGACTTCTAAATCTGCTGAATGCTATGTTTCTCCTTTTTTTCTTGCATCCACACAAGCATACAAATGGTAATCCACAGTATGACTCCACATCAATCCTGCTTCTACCTCTCCGTCCTTTCTGTTGTCTCTGCCTCTCCCTCATACATACACAGCATTGTACACACATACACACGGCGCTGCAGCCATTCAAATACACATCTCTATCTACCACTCATACAAACTAATATCTCAGGTAAGCACAGGGCCTAAAGTGACCTGCTGTCGCGGTGCGTGAATCCACTAAGGCTGCGAAAAGGTAATATTGCACCCTCCCTCATTCGCCTTCAAGGGCTGAGGCTTGATGTGGACGAGCAGAGGAGGTGCAGAGGTGAGGGAGGGGGCAGGTGAGGAGGAATAAACAGATTTATTTGCCTGCGCCCCACTCTGATTATTTTGCCCCTGCCTTTTGTTCCAGACCTTATGAAACCCAAATGTCAAGTGAGGCGAGGGCCTCATATCGAGTCCTGTCAATCACGGCCCTCTGTGCACCTGAAGCTCTGATGCTGGATTATTGGCTTCAACACAAGGGCTGCCGGTGCTGCCAGGCACGCAGGCGATTCGACAGCTGAGTGTTTTTTATTTTTTTTTTAAAGAGGAACTTCATTTGGCAGCTGATGCACAGGTGATTGCAAGGGAGCGGATTCTGAGAGTAGATGGGAAGCGAGCTGAATGTGTGCTGGTGTTTTAAGAGAAGTGCACAGTGCTTTATCGCGGGAGAGGAGGATTAAGAGGGAGGGAGCATGCTTGACATGGGCTATAGCAGAGAGTCGGGGCAAGAACTAATGATTGAGGCATCATGTTTAACTGCAGTGTCTGTAGATTAACCTTAATGTTCACTAAGGTAACCTTTGTGAAGGTCATTGTCAGGAGTATCGTTTGATCTAGAAATTATTTATCATCATTCTTTTCAGTTTGAAAGTCATGTAACTATAAATAGCTTTGAGATTTTTTTCCTCTTTTTTCTATAAAGTTGCTGGCCTTTTCTTTGGAATTTTTTTTGTTTGATTG